CTCCAGGTCCCCCCGCCCGCCTCGCAAGCTGGTCGCCCTAAGAACGAGGCCAACGATTTTCCGCCCCTCGACGGGCCAAGTTCCCGATCCTCCGGCGAGTCGCTGAACTCTAGATATGAGCAGGAACACCCGGTCACTAGTGTAAAATCAGCCGATTCGAAGCTGGGCGACGAACGTGACGAGGAGACCGCGGCCGAGAGGAAAAGACGTGAGGCTGCACTTGGAATTACGGGGAATGACGAACCAGATAGCGACGATGATGGTGATCCCGGCTGGCGCATGACGGACGCAACCAATAGCAGTGCCCAGGGGCCAACCAGAAGCCCGGGCATTCGTTTTGCTGACCAACCACGCTCGCCAAGCACCGGGCCTCCCGTCGGTCTCGCGCCTCGAGGAAAGACGCTAAGCTGGGGGAAAGACGTAGTAATGGGGAAGGGGAAGGGGAAGGAATGAAGATGTCATGCATGAGTGATGAATCACGAATGAGAAGGAAAACAAACAAACAAAACAAAGCATCATCTGTTAAATGAGGGGTTATGCGGTGTTAATTGGGGATATCATTATGGTGTGCTTTTCCAGTTTGCTACTTGACTTGTCTCCTCACTGTCATTTCCCTAACCTTACTTTTTTGTCCCCCCCCTCTTTTTCCTGTTCAGAGCTTTTTACTATAATTATGAATCTTTTCCTCCCATTCAAACCGTTTTTTTCGTTTTCCATCATAAAAGTTTTTTTTTTTTTCTTTTTGGAAACTCTCGGCGTTGATTTTTAACACATTTTTCCATAAAATTTCTTACAATTTGTGTATGCTTCGAGCTTGTAGCCTTTTAGTTACGTCTAGGTATTCATTTCATTGCATAGGATTAAAGATCATTGCAGGGAGAAGGAAATGCATGTGTAAGAATGGGGGGTTTTGCATGATGGATGATATCACGTGCCCAGGATATGATTTATTGGTGCGACTTTGGGGGGATTATGATAGCTGTGGTGTGTATTTGAAGAAAATTTGTCTCATTGAGCGTTAAGTAATAAGAGTAAATAATATTATGTCGGTGTTTGCTTCTGGTATTCTCGTTCTCAGAATTGCATCATGAGTCGACTTGATTGTAACAGGCAATTTGTGAAAAGTCACACCACTCGAGGTTGTCCTGTGTGTGTAGTGGTGCAAATACGATAGTGGCTGGAGAAAAGAGATATCACGGGCTATCACTCGCCTCACTATACCCTAGCCATGCAGCAGGAAGCTACAAGAGCCCCTTAGTGCAAGAACAACTAAAACCCAACAATAATTCTTCTATGTATGATATCATAATAAACGCGACTATGCGACTATGCGGTTCCCGAGACAAGCCAAAATCCAGCCATTCACAACCCGACGTGGCCAAACTTGCCTGCAATGACGGCGTATACACAACTGGCTAGACTAGTTCTGGAAATGCACCCAGGAATGAATACTAAACAGATGCGCGGGGAACGGGGGAAAGAGGGATTGTAGATGGAGAAAAACCCCACCATTTTCCTGATTGAAGCGGCCTCACTTGGTGACGGGGTATCCGGGAGCGTATCAAACAAAGGCCCTCACCAGCGCTACTGGGTGGGGGGGCTTAAAAGGGACGTTTGTCATCCGGGGTGGGGTGCATAGTCAACATTACGGTCTCTGATATCTCCCAACAGGTATCATTTCCCCGATGAGTCGCTTGGTAACGTAAAATGCTTGGATGTCGGACGTTACACATAAGCCGGACAGGAATACAACATCGGTAACCAACAAGAAAAACCGTATTACTCCAGGAAAAATAACAAGGAAAGAAAGCCATTCAAACTGAGAAAAGAATAATACCACCTCTATAACTGACGTGATTAGGAAGTTAAATGAAGAATATTGTGGGAATGGATAGGACTTCAAAGGAGGAGGAAGATGTACCTTGCATCTTGAGACAACTAAAGAACTTGTAGGAAAAAAAAAAATTACTTTCTGGTGCATAATTGCGTTGGTAAAGCATGATCGAGGAGACGCCTATTGGGATTGGTTGGAGTAGAGAGCTTTGGAGAAAGAATGGGATACTGGGTATGGACAATTTGTAGTATGATGAACTCGCTTGTATTATCAGATGCAGATTCTTCCTCCAGCTTATATTCAGTGTCCTGATCGGCCACCATTTCCTCCTCCTCTTCCATAGCAAAATGAACTTGCTTCCTCAGTGCCGTTCCCTTTCCTTTCGCTCCCAAATTGCCCTTTGCTGTAGGCTTTTGTGTTCTTGATTGCTTGCGTTGTAGAGCAAGTGCCTCCTGCTCTTCTTTCTCTTGTTTTTTAACCAAACAACATCAGCCCTAGTGATAATCCTAGCCTTTGACAGTACTCGGTAGTCAGTCCTCCCAGCCTTTCTTTCTGCAAATGCCTCCCATAAGTTTTCTGCCTCCAAACTCTTAATCTCAGCCTGGGAGTAGGATGCTTCAGCCAAATTGGCAAGCTGGAAGATAAAAGCAATTGTTCTGGTTTTTGTAAAAGGGGTATTAGAGGAAACAAACTTGATAGTAGCAGTAGTTTGATAGTATAGGTCTCATCAGTTCTTGGATATATGAAGGAATGGATTTGGAACTGCATGGGGTGAATTTGTTAGGAGTACTGGAATTCGATACCTAGGAACCAACCTAAGTAGGGTAACCACACTCAGATATGAAATCTCTGGTCTCCAACATCCTCTTTGGCCTCCTTATGGGCCTGCATGTTATTATATACATCGATCTTAGTTGAATAGTTCATTGGAAATATCTCGAGACATCTTTCTGAAGGTCACATGTTCAACTCCTGTTGTTGTCAAAGTTATTTCTGGCATTGAGTTATTTTCTACCAATATCTCTTGAAACTGCAAAGCTCTCTGTATGACAACTGAGGAGCTCCGACAGAAGGGTTAGGATTCTATCCTATAGAAGTATTTCTCCTCTTGTAACAATCCTCCTTTGGATGGTTAATTCTTGGCGACAGGGAATGATACTTCTCTTCTCCTGTTTCCTAGTCTTATGATAGCTCTAGGCCTATGCCTACATTACTGATAGTACAAGGCTTCTGGTTTCTATCGGGAAATCCTATCGTAAGCTTTCTCTAACTCTCCTTCGTGAAGAGTTCTCTTTGGCGTAACAATGATAAAGGTCATGATAATGATAAAGAGCATAAAGGTGTTTTATATTTGTTATAGTAATAAGTAGGAAAAGTACTTAGAATTCAATCTAATTTTATTTAAACTCATACTGCTAATACTGGTATACGATAAGCCCCCACCGGCACAGGGATACTGCTAACCGGTATACCGATAATCCTAAGCTAACTAAGTCTAAGGCCCTGCACCTCCGCACCTACCATCCCCGAGTCATGCCCGTACGAGAACTAATTGCAAGACCATCAAATAACCCAGCACCCACCTTGGTCCAAGTCTGTAGCCCCTCGGGTATAGAGCCAACCAGCACTAAATGTAGCCAAAGCTGAGTCAAAGACCAACCCAACCAGGTTCCTCATCTAACAATCATAAAATTACTACCACCCAGTCTGAAAACCATCCCGCGAAACCTCCACCATAATAGAAAACCAACAAACACAAACTAAACCTACAGGTGACACAATGGCAGAAAGGAGGCAACCACCATGTTAACCTCTTACACCGGCTTGCCAGGCCGTCGATCCTATGAACCTACTTTGCCAGTTGGCTCTGAAGAGCGTACTGGTGAGGAGGACCTGTACCCGTTGCCTGTCTCCCAAACAAAACAACTTAAACGTAGAAAATACATAGAGGTAGTAACAGACCAAGAAGATCAGTAGGGCCTATCTCCCACCCGTGGTGCCATACCTCCTCCTGCCAAACCTGTAGCCAAACCAAAGAAACTAAACAAACCCCACAAAACCCAGTACATAAGACGCAAACAAGTTCAACCAGGTAGTCACAACCCACTATCTGCACAGGTGGCCATCAATCAGCCAGTCTGTCAGGGAGCTTTCCAGCACTCAGCAGTCTCACCTAACAGCCCAAGTTGGACTGGAAACACTTAATTAGACCTCACCCAACCTAATACAGACCCAACCGGTACTTGTGGGTGCCTCTCTCCCCCCAATCAGCCCCCTCCAAGCCCCACACATCAGATGCCACAGAGTCTATCCAGCCCTGCCAGCTCCACAGACAGATCAACCATCTGACAGCCACAGGACAGCCCATACCTAGCCCCATCAGGTGGCCACTAGTCTTAGCCAGACTAACGGAGCTCCAACCCTGTTAGGAATACCAGAATCCAATACCTAGGAACCACCCTAAGTAGGGTAACCCCACTTGGAATCGGAATCTCTGGTCTCCAACACCCTCCTCCGACTCCCTTACAGGGCCCGCGCATCATCATATATATCAATCTCAGTTGCATCCTGTGACTACATTACCACAGAATTGAAGGTGTTAGAATAACACCATATATGTCACCGCCATCCCTCTGACCGGATCCTGTTCACAGGATATATGGGAGGGGACCTTCGGCTAGGCCTGGGAAGTGGAACAGAGTAATTCTGTCAACTACTCAGAGAGCTACTAGGCTTCAAAGACATGACACCTTTGGCATGGGCCGTAAGTAACGGGACAATTTCGCACAATGAGATGGTATCAAATAGTAAAGAATCTCTACTAGAGACCGATACAATCACATATACCAGAAGAGTCTAGAACTCTAAAAGACACTGCCAAAGAAGCCAACGAACTTCACGGAGTGTTGCAACTGGGTTTTGGAACACGTTGTAGTCATGAGGTGATTCTTAAATACTACAATGGTTACTGAAACCTACTACCCAGAGAGCAACCAAGGGTTGCCAACTGAGTGATTAATTACCAGTCTAGTGGAGTGGCTTCCTGCGAGTGAATAGGAAGTCATCCAAAGAAAATCTATCGGTTGGGTATGGAGTTACAAAGGGTTGGAATCAAATAATCTATGATGGTTGTAATGACGAACCACCTTTGCAGATATAGCCATGGATAAGACTGATTATTTTATCAATGGTGAAAACAATTGGAGCCAACTCAGTTTGACTTAAGAACTAGGCTATAATTCTAACGACTCGGCTAATCGGGATATTACTATTGGGGACAGTACGTTTCCTAAAAAGAAATATTGTAATTACCGAAGAGGGTGTGATGGTTTTCAGGGTCTACAGGTGTTTACACCTTGGAAGAAAACTCGATGTTGCGAATCACGATTGAAGAAGTACATAGTTGTATGATAAATAGATATAGTCCACAAACACTCAAATGCGGAATATAAATATCGAAGTACCTCCCAAGCTTTAGACATCATCAAGCAACAGAGAAGAGACCTTAACAATATAATATTGTTTTTACAATTCTACCCTACTTTACCTACTTACTTCACTCCTAGTAGTCATAAACGAAATGAGCCAAGTCCGAGCCTTCCTAGACAATCTCCGTCTACAAAAAACGAATCTCGATTGGCCTAGACAATCTTGAAGTTTATCAAATTGTCTCCGTCTAACAAACCCCCAGTACTCTGCAGCCAAGGGAGGCCTACCAGCCACAGCCGGGAGCTACAAAGAAGGCAGCACCAACACCTGAAGCGATTAGTACCAGTAACACCATCCAACCCAGTCAAACCAAAGTTCAACTAAGTCGGGAAAGAGTAGGCAGAGCCAGCCAAAGCCAGTCCCACAGGTCTGGCAACAGGTACAGACCAAACGCTGGGCAAGAGGCGCTCCCAACTGATGCGATATGGGGGGGGAGGGTGAGCGAACAGAAGCTGACAAATAGGAGGTAGACTCCACTTGCAATGGGTAAAGCCACCAACCACAATCCACAACTGAACCACCCAAACGCACAGACAATAAAA